ACCGGTTGCCTCTTCCACCCGGATTTCCTAATCATCTTCTACCGGCTTCTCCTACCAGGCCTTCTACTTTGCCAATTCCTAGAACTTGTGGTATAGCTGAAGCCTCAACTGTTAATCTATCAAAATGGAAAAAAGGAAGGCTTCTGGGAAGAGGCACATTTGGCACGGTCTATCTTGGATTCAACAGGTATGTCCATGCATTTGGTTTGCCTCTTTTAGCCAATCTTAAATTCTTTCTTGATGGCAGTACAACAATTCAAGAATGAATACTTTATTAACTAATATTTACAGTGAGAATGGGCAGATGTGCGCAATTAAAGAAGTGAAAGTTGTTGCAGATCACTTACATCCAAAGAGTGCCTTAAGCAGTTGAACCAGGTTTGGCTTATTCATTAGTTTTCTTGAAGTTTTTTGTCCTTGAAACTTCTATGGTGTTCTTTGCTTTTAATTGTTTTTCTCCCCATTTACCTTTTTTCTCCCTATGGGCTGATAAATTTCAAACTTGGACTTTTTCTTACTCATGGAAAAGGTCTAGGAAAATGAACAACAATTGCACGTACAACATCAGAGAATTGGGACCATGGAAAAATGAAAGGTATGTCACTTAATTCGTTGCTGTGATGCTTATATCTTAAATCCTTTTACTATTTTTAATAATACCAATCTCAAGTAATAAGTTATGTATGTTCATTTTAATTAAACCAACATATAGATTTTCAAAGTGTAGGCGCAGTAGGGATGTAGAATTACATGCCATTACTTCGCTATACAATTGGCTCTGATTCAGGATCTGTTGGAAATGATCACGGGGTAGGATTTGCATCTGGCTCTGATTCAGGATCTAGTGTTAGCTCTTCTGGCTCAGGTGATGATCATAGCTGCATCGATCGTTCTCAGTTCTCCTCTTTCAGGTCTTTTTTTGCTCCCTTGTCAGCAAAGATTCGTTTTTTCTTCCATAAAATTTTGCTTAGGTTTCCTGGTTGGAGAGAAAGATTATTGCAGTTTCACTCTTGACTTGATAGGCGCTTTTTTTGAACTAGGGAGAATGTATTGTTAACCAGACTCTTTTCCCAGGAGTCTTTGTTTCACTGCCACTTTACTCCGATCTGGTTTTATGAGTCCCTTAGCTTAAGTGGTTTTCTGGTATGTTTATTCTTATTCTTTTGTAGGTCGGGCAAGTCATTTTTCAGTAGGTGGAGTAAGTCTTAATTGCAGAAACATTTTTATTTCCTGTTAAACAACAGAGGAGGAATTGGTGATAGCAGGCATAGTCCAGTCTCACAAAGCCCTGTCCGTTCAAGGGTGCCTACAACCAGTTCTTTGCCTCTGCATCCTCGGTCTGGAGGGTTAATTTGGATACTCCAGCAGGAAGGTTGGATGAAGGGAAGAGTGAAGGCCACCGGTTGCCTCTTCCACCCGGATTTCCTAATCATCTTCTACTGGCTTCTCCTACCAGGCCTTCTACTTTGCCAATTCCTAGAACTTGTGGTATAGCTGAAGCCTTAACTGTTAATCTATCAAAATGGAAAAAAGGAATGGTTCTGGGAAGAGGCACATTTGGCACGGTCTATCTTGGATTCAACAGGTATGTCCATGCATTTGGTTTGCGTCTTTTAGCCAATCTTAAATTCTTTCTTGATGGCAGTACAACCATTCAAGAATGAATACTTTATTAACTAATATTTACAGTGAGAATGGGCAGATGTGTGCAATTAAAGAAGTCAAAGTTGTTGCAGATGACCTGACATCCAAAGAGTGCCTTAAGCAATTGAACCAGGTTTGGCTTATTCATTAGTTTTCTTGAAGTTTTTTAGTCCTTGAAACTTCTATTGTGTTCTTTACTTTTAATTGTTTTTCCTCCCTATTTACTTTTTTCTTTTCTGTCAGGAAATCACTTTGCTCAGTCAATTTTCACATCCAAACATTGTTTGGTATTATGGGAGTGAACTGGTACCTGGATTTGTTACACATGAGTTGAAATTTGCTCTTTCAAATTAATGGTGTGTGATTGCCAAGTTTGTCATGTCACATAACATTTCTTTGTATTTTTTGCTTAGGGAGAAGAGACGCTCTCAGTTCCATTCACCCGAGCTCCTAAATGCTTTCGTTGTCAAGGCATAGGTCATTATGCCAACGAATGCCCAAACAAGAAGATTATGGCCATTGTGGAGTATGAAGAGGAAGAAGACAGCCCCTCTTGGGTCGAAGAAGTAGCAGAAGAAGAAGAATGTCTTGGAGCAGATGAAGGCGAGCTCTTAGTCATTCGGAGAGCATTGAGCAACTTGGCTGCCCCGGACGATCAATTGCAACGAGAGAATATTTTCCATACCCGTTGTACCATACAAAAGAAGGTGTGTTCATTAATCGTGGACAGCGGGAGTTGCACCAACGTTGCATCAAAGACGTTGGTGGAAAAGCTGAAGTTAAAGGCCTCACCACACCCTCGGCCTTATACCATCCAGTGGCTAAATCATGGTAAAGGATTACGCGTGGATTCCCGAACTCTAGTTTCCTTGAGCATAGGGAAAAGCTATGTGGATGACATATGGTGCGACATCATCCCGATGGATGCGTGTCATATCTTGTTGGGACGACCTTGGTTATTTGATCGAAGAGTTACTCACGACGGGTACGCCAACACGTA